AGAGACCCGCAGACTCACTTAGAGACCCACATACTCACTTAGAGACCCGCAGACTCACTTAGAGACCCACAGACTCACTTCGAGATCCATAGACTCACGTAGAGACCCACATACTCGCTTAGAGACCCACACCCGCAAACTCACTTAGAGACTCACAGACTCATTTAGAGACCCACAGACTAACTTAGAGACCCACAGACTCACTTAAAGACCCACAAACTCGCTTAGAGACGTACAGACTCGCTTAGAGATCCGCAGGCTCACCTAGAGACCCATAGACTCACGTGAAGACCCACAGACTCACATAGAGACTCACAGACTCACTTAGAGACCCGCAGACTCATGTAGAGACCCACAGACTCACGTAGAGACCCACAGACTCACTTAAAGACCTGTAGTCTCACTTATAGACCCACAGATTCGCTTAGAGACCTGCAGACTCACTTAGAGACTTGCTTAGAGACCCATAGACTCACGTAGAGACCCACATACTCGCTTAGAGACCCACAGACTTACATAGAGACCCGCAGACTCACTTAGAGACTCACAGACAAATTTAGAGGCCCACAGACTCACTTAGAGACCCACAGACTCACTTAAAGACCCATAGACTCATACAGAGACCCGCAGACTCACTTAGAGACCCGCAAACTCACGTAGAGATCCACAGACTCACGTAGAGACCCACAGACTCACGTAGAGACCCAGAGACTCACTTGGAGACCCACACACTCACTTAAGGACCCACAGACTCGCTTAGAGACCCGTAGACTCGCTTAGAGACCCACAGACTCGCTTAGCGACCCACAGACTAGCTTAGAGACCCGCAGACTCACGTAGAGGCCCACAGACTCACTTAGAGACACACAGACTCACTTAAAGCCCCACAGACTCGTTTAGAGACTCGCAGACTAGCTTAGAGACCTTATACTCCCATAGAGACCCACAGACTTGCGTAGAGACCCATAAACGCATCTAGAGACCTGTAGACTCACACAGTGATTTATTCAAAGGACACATCATCACAACAGTGATGATTTAGCACTCCGCTACTTCTGACACAAACATCTGGCTCGACCGCCTCGATCTAACATTACAATCGTTGCTGTACATCTATGTCAGCCACAAGAAGAAGTATTTGTGATATATAGTCATCATCATCATCATCCCCATCATGATCATCAAAGTGTCTTTGTCATTTTGGTAACCCAGGTTACTCTGGCAAAGGAGACTCATCCTGGTCACTTTCATTGTCACCCGGTTAAAATATACTTGAATCTTGAGCTTGCAAATTCACCGCACAGCACGGCAAAAATAGAGCAACTGAAAAGTAATTTTACTTCAGTGACATTTGGGCTGAAAAAGTTCTGGAGGGATTACCAAAAAGTAATAACGTTTTCCCCCTTAATAGATATTTCTAGAGTCATCTTTTTCAGTATTTGTGGAATACAGTTATCTAAATTTGGCCGTGCAGGACTTCCCTTAACCTATGTTCACAGTTATTAAACACCTCCACGTGCTTTTGTTGCCCGTTGTACCGTACGTTGTACCGTACGTTGTACGTACATGAGCCCCCCAATTCGCTTCTTCCCGAGAAGCGGCACGTCCTAAAGTGGCGAGCCTATCAAAGGCCACAGGCGGGCCGGTGCATTAACCACAATTCCATCATCGATCGAGGGTCTCATTTTTCGTGAACCTGCAAAAATCACCAGTTTGGCCAAGCCTTTCATGTACGGCATTGTCTTGTCAATCACGAGCTTGCTGTTCCCGATTTTTGGCTATCCGCGAATCGCATCTGGAACTCTGCACGACTGGAGAGAGAGAGAACGTAATGAGAGATAAAGTGATGAGAGATGAAGTGATGAGAGATACAATGATAATATAAAGTGATGAGAGATAAAGTGATCAAATAAAGTGATGAGAGATAAAGTGATGTGAGAAAGTGATGAGATAACTTTCCTGTATTTAACAGCTTAATTACGTATTTATGTAAGAGAATTCATGAAAAAAAGAGTTCGGTTTCCGTAGGCCAACATCATTATCTGCGAAGTCTGCTCTTCACGAGCAACTCCGGAAACGGCACCCCTCGCGAATAACAAGGGAATGCTGTACATGGCACGCTTTTCATTTACCACGCACGCAACACGCATGCAACATCTCTTCACGAAAGTCTCCTCCACCCCCCCCCAAACCATTTTTTGTCCCCCACCCCCCCAGAACGTGAAACCGTTAAGAGATCGAATCTTGGACAACAATGGCGAAAGCCGAGGAACCGGGGGCCACAATAATACAACGACGCAACGGAAAATAAAGGGAGTCTTTATTTCAGCGGCGGAGCGAGTCTACCGGGGTGAGTCTACCGGGTTTAATTATGGCTGCAAAGAAGTCGGTGGCCGTGCTGTTCCCGGCGGTAATGAGCGGGGGGGGGCTTAATTCAAGCTGTCGGAGACGCTAATTTTCACGTCACTTTTTTTTTCCTCTTGGCAGTGTGCCGTGAATCAAATTCCTATTCACGTTTTAACTCATTATCGGTGCGTTATATTATTTATTATTATTATTACTACTACTGCCACCGCCGCCGACACCACCACCACTGCCGTTGCATTCGTCTTATATTTACAGCAGATGTGCCAGGTGTGAGGCAAAGGAACACGGTGCGTGGCTCACTTTATCCGATCGCTCGCTCGCCCGCTCCCACACGCGAACTGCAGGTAGCTCTCGATTTCGAGAGCCGGGCCGATCTCTTCCCCGCGCTGCCCAGGCAGCTTCGAAGCATTGGGATAGACCCACGCTCCAAAAGGGCCCTCATGGCAGAACGTGGCCCGCCGTATCGGTGATCAACAACCGTGGTTGCTGCACCCACTTGGTGCCGGCCACCGGGACGGACAGAGGCAGCGGTGGACAGATCGAGAATCCTAACGGTTTCTTTATTTATTCTTTCCCACCGCCGCGCCGGGAACATCGAAATCGGACCGGCGACCTCCGGATCGCGAGCCTCCGGGGCGACAACTGGTCACCTCCCCACGGTTGCGGCCGGGCCGCGTGCTTCAAATCCCGCGTTTTACTCCCCCCAACCACCCCGCTCTCGGCCAGCCAATTCCCATCCCGAGGTAAAGCGTGCTAATCTTTGTGACTGCTGAGACGAAGGCTCATTACAACCCAGTTGGACGTCACCGCCATCTATATTTAGTTTCCCCCCACTCCCCCTCTCTCAGGTCGTATTGAATGGTCAAACAGCTGTTCCGGTAATGCAAAGACTCGCACGTGCTTGGACTGTTACCTTCCGCGCCCGTCGAATATTTCTGACCGAAAGCCTGATTTACTGGGAGGTGCGGCCGTCGATTAAATGTTATCTTCCACGCCTGCCCGTGCACGAGCGTGCGCGCGTGCACCCCAGCGTCAGGCAGCGGTAGCGTCAAGCTTAGCGGCACTGTGCGCTACGCACCCGGCGACCCATGGCCGGTCCTGTAACGTGCCCTCGGTCAACTCGGACATAAATTAGTACTTGCTGTGTGTAAGCACGACCGTTGTGCTCTCCCCCCCACACCCCACCCCACCCCACATGTGTCCTGCGGCATGTTTGCCTTCAAAGGAGCTGCTCGCCGATGGCACTTGCCCCAAAAGTCTGTCAGAGCTATAGGGGGAATCTATAGCTTTTGCGTGTTGGGAAGCTTTGGTGTATAATTTAAGACGAGTCAGACATCGCTTAGCGCTCGGAGAGCGCCGTGCTGAACTAGACACGCGGCTGCTTGATTGATTCTCGGAGGGATTATAAAGGGCAAAGGCAAAGGCTCTCTCCGGCGCGCGCGCGCAGTCGCGTTCACATCTCCTTGCTCGCGCGCCACGGGTAAACTCGGGCGCCGCTTCGAGCGTCGCGTGATTTCGTGGCTGCCGTTTGGCAATTACAACGCACGATCATCTTACGCCCGCATTGTGGCAAGCTCTTCGTATTCACTAAACGTGGAGGCGGCGGGGAAGGGGGGGGGTAAGGCTTGTCTTCGCTGAAAAATCAAAATGTTGTTTTATTTCAATGGCTTCCTGATATCGGAAAGAAGAACGTTCCAGACGGCAACGGGAGCGCATCTGGAAAAGTCCCGTGCGATGCGGTGACAGTCTTTGTTTGATAGCCAACCAAAAGTCACAATCGGAATATTTATTTATACCGGAGTTTTGCAAGATGATTTATGCTCCTTGATGAGATCGGCATGGGTTTGTGGTTCATTCGTGGTGAGTAATGAGCGCGACCTCATAATGTATTCGTATTTGGGCGAAACCAATGATATTAAAGTGACACATTACGTCGTTACCCAGACATCTAATGACACCGCCTATCCGCATTAGGGCCGTCATCACCCGCATCGCAGCCGTGAACACCCAAGTCTTGCCCTCCGCTGGTAGCCTCGGCGTGTGAGGTCGGCCGTCTCATCCGACACTTTCCCAGGTGTGGCCGCGTAACGAGCCAGTACGTGCAGCAAGCGACGCGGGTGCGCGCAGGAGAGGTGCAAATAGCCGCGCGCTCGTAACGTAAATCGGCGTCGCTGAGATTTTTTTTTTTTAAAAAAAAGCTCGCATCTCGCGATGTCGGACACCTACGTGCCGAGCGGAGGAGGAAAGTTTGCGGCACAGAAGATGAAGTCGAGCGCGCTGCCTTGTTGTGTTCGTCAAGGGCGAACGGGCACCACGAGATACACGCTGGAAACGGGGGAACCCACGAGCAGCCAGCCGCGTTGCCCCACCTGTCCTGGCGTTACGTTTTTGTTTTATCTCTCCACGATCGTTACCCCTTTTTTATTGAGGGAGCTGTCCTGGGAAATCTATCAGTTTTACCAGGATATTAAAAAGTCCTGATTTTTGTCAATTGCGTAACAATAATAATGCTACGGACTACTGCACCATTCACGGCGATGCAGTTTATTTTTTATTTTACCAGGTAAGGCCCACTGAGCTACGTAGATCTTTTTCAGAAGCGACCTGGCCACGATTGAAAAAAAAAATGTTTCAGAGCTGCTTTTTGTGTTGAGTTTGTTGTCCTTCCCCTACACCTTCGATAAGCACAGTTGGCTCCGTACGGTGTGAAAGAAGCTCAACGTACATGCGGCCCCATGATATGTCCCTGTATATTGCTACCTCAGGGGTGGCAACCCCCAGCAGCCAGGAGATTGCCATCGGCCTCCGTAGCGATGGAGGGGACTTTGCAATGCGGCTCAAAGACGCATCTCGGGATCCTGTCGACCTTGTCGTCTGCAGCTCCCGCCCCACCCCACTGGTTTCACCATCCTCTATTTATACGCGACCCCGGCCAATCGGGAGCTCCTTAGGGGCCCTTGACCCCGGAAGGATGGGTCAACGGAACGAGTAACTGTTTTGCAGACGGACGTAAATGTATTGTTTTTGTTTACAAAAAATAAAAACGGTGATACGTCGATGTTGTCTTTAGGAATCCTGGAGCTGAAATAGTAAAAAACTCGCGAACAATTATTCGTGAATAATAATTATTCACGCAAAATTACTCGCGAGCTATTCCGTTTCCCGAAGAGGCTCCCGAGCACGTGGAGCGAAACGTCGGACGTCGTGCCGAACGACGCGCGGTACCGACCCCCCGAAAACGCATCGGAGAGCCAGACGGGGGAGCAGAGTGACATGCGAGAGAGCGAAGGAGAGGAGCGAGAGAAGAGAGAGGAGAAAGCGAGCTGGAGGCTCAGGGAGAGGGAGTGTGTGTGTCTCTTACCGACGGTGCTCACCGTGTCCCTCACCGTCAGCTTCCACTTGTTCGGCCGTAGCCGGAATGCGACAGCCGGACCCACAACACTGCGGGCATAAATCACCGTCACCAAGATGATCGTTACCATCACCATTAGCAGCATCATCATCGTTTGTTCATCATCATCATCAGCAGCAGCAGAATCAGCTTGGGTTGCCGCCTTTTGCACGTACCCAATCCCGGACATAATCTTTAAGTCAGCCTCGGCCTATGAATATTAAAACAGATTATTTGGTGACGCTGCGTTGGCAGTGGTGCATAAGGTCTATCAACATTGTGCTGTGTTTTCCTGTGGTAGCAACATTCAGCACAATGCCACCACCGGATCTCGGTGCGAGTCAATCTCTGCCACCCGAACACGGCAGATGCCAATTTTTCAGACTGCCCGGGTCAAACTGGGTCAAACCGGGTCAAACCCAGTCAGGTGGCAAAGCAATCAAAAGCAGCATCAGTAGCAGCAGCATTACCGCGCAAGCCATCATCGTTTGTTTATCAGAATCATGAGCTCATCATCATAATCATCATCATAATCATCATCATCTCGGACATTTCGCTCCACGTGCTCGGAGTTCAGAACCTGGAGAAGGACGCGGTAACGTGGGTAAAAACGACGGACTACGTACCGAACAACACGCGGGACAACGAAGAAAGACGTCGGAGAAATATTCGATGACTGTCCCGTACACTAACGGCGGTTTCGGTGTGTCTGTCAGCCCCCTTATTAGTTTACTTGCACGTGAGCTGACCGTGCGTGCGTGCAGCTGTGTGTGCGTGCGTGTGCAATATCAGTTACAGCGTAAATGATGACGACGATGACGCTGTCCCGCGGTGTAATGGTTAGCACGCAAGGACTTGAGGTCTCAAGGGGTCACCGGTTCGAATCAACGGTTCTATCTCCCGGCGCGGCAGAGTCGAAGAACATTGGACGGGTTTTTTTTAAATCTCCCACCGCGTGTCTTCGTCTCCTGACACCCCTAAGATCCACCTCCAGCAGGAAAGGGGTTGGGAAATTGGCGGCTCGGGACGCGCATGGAGCTCTCTCTCAAGGACTCGACTCTCGACGTCATTCGCATTGCCTTGCGGCCCTTGCAATGTTGAGGGTTTTTTTATTTTTACCGAATTTCGAGAAAAAAAGTGGCTCTTCTTGTTACTTTCGTTGCCGACCCCCTAGCAATAAGACCCTAATTAGCCCCTCCCCCCCCCCCCGTTAGGGGGAGAATAGACACGCAGAGGGCACGCCCCCCCCCCCCCCCAGTTTTGTGTTCTTTGCCCGCATGTTTTGTTAGCCCTCTCTCTTGTTCGCGGTTTGGGGGTTCAATATAAATCGCCCCCCCCCCGCCCGCCAGCGTCCATCCAGAGGCGTGAATTGGGGTCACCACCCTTCGTCGATCGGCAAGGTCACGTGCCTGCCGTGCTAAGGCGTGGGCGCTTCCAAGCCTTTTGGCCAAGACGGCTGTCCAGGCGTGGAACAGCAGGCCAAAGAGCACCCCTCTCTGCAAGGGTACTCTCGGGAGCTCCCCCCAGACACTTGCGCCGCCGGCAGTGGCGGCGAGCAGGGAATTTGCAGGGCTGCGCCTTTGCATTTTGCCGTTTGAATGTGGAGTCGTTCCCCCCCCCGGCCCCCTCGCCACCGCCTCCCCCTGTTAAGTCTGCACGGACGAGCGCCATCAGATGCCCCTCGGTTCCGTTTCACGCCCGATAGCCGCTGGAGCTCGCTAACGGGCCAGCCGTCAAGCTCCGTCCAATCCTTCCCCTCGCTCGTTCTGCCGTACCGCCGCCCGCCGGCCTCGTCTGGCCCGGTTATTTATTTATTTGCTCAATTTTTGTTTAATCACCGCCCTGCCGCCAAGGTTCAACGCAACTCACGATGACCGCCGCCGCTCATAAGCACCCGTGCTCGCTCGCCAAACTCTCGCCCGCGCTCACACTCACTCGCGCTCTCTCGCTCGCTCGATCTCACTCTCTCTCTCTCTCCCGCTCTCTCGCCCGAGGAAAAGGGCTCACATTTACATGACAATGTGGGGGGTGCAAGGGGCCCCCTCTGCCTGCCTCTCCGCCCGCCCCAACCCTCCTCCCTCCAGCGCTCTTTTCTCGTTGAGCTAAAGCCAAAAATCTGCATCACAAAACTGCTCCGTGCGGCAACTGGGGCGACGGCGCGGCAATCAGTGGGGGCCGCCTCCTCCGAGCGCCCCACCAGACAAGCAATTAGCATCTCGCGGGCATCCTGATCTTCTTCCCTTTGCTCTTACTCCCAGCAAAAAGCCCCCCCCTCCCCCTCCCCGCCCCCCACTATTCTTGCTACCAGCAGCCCTTCTCCTGGTCCTTCCCCGCCCTCCACCACCTCCTAACCCTACTCTCCTCCTACTCCTCCTCCTCCCAGCCTCCCTTTCACTCTCCGACTCGCGACCCCCCCCCCGTCCCCCTCCTCCGTGTTCTATTCCTCACTGCCCACGATTCTTGCGGACACAGGGACCTGCCTGGCCGTCTTCAACCACCCTCTGTGCCAAACGACGGCCCGACTTGGCCGTCGTTTGGCACGGGCCGTGCCGTGGGCCGTGCTGTGGGTCGTGGGCTGGGCCGGAACACGGCCTGGGGACTGGTAGACAGATTGGCACCCTGGCTGGGGTCTGTCCGGTCAAGGGGGTTGCTTCATCCTTGTCGTGGGGCGCATTGAGTGCTTGATTAATTGCCTAATTGCGGCGTTTGCGTCTAGGACGCGAGCGCTTGTATAGACGGAGGGGGGGCGTAATAGTGTCGCATGTTTAGGGGCCGGCGTAGCACGAAGAAGGCGTGGTGTGGCCTCCGCCACTCCAAGCCACCTTTGTCTCTCCATTGAGAAATAGTTGCGGGCTACCCGGCGCTCGCCATGGTAGGCGTTCAGCAGAGAAGGTGGTGACTTTACCGAAAGAGACATAGAATATGAATTCCTGCAGTCGCGAAAGTTTTAAGTCAAAATTTAAGGTGGTGGTGGTGGTAAGTAGAAAATACCAAAAAAGTTTTGCGGCTCTGCGTACAATTCCCGTGACGCAAGGGCCTCCACTAGCAGGGAGGCCGAGAGGGCCCTTCTCGTGAGATAATTTTGACCGACTCTTCCACACTGCCCAGACGTCTTGGAACAGGTGGGATTACCCACACTTTACCCCACCAGACACATCCCACAGTGAGTATACAATCATTTACCCCCCTACCACCACCACCACCACCACCGCCCCCCCCCCCATCTCTTCGCCATTCGCACGATTTCGAAGCATGACGCCGCGAGCGCGAAGAATTCGATTTGACCGACGCGTCGCGAACTGCGCCACGGCTCATCCGCTCACCTGACGTCTGTGAAGGAGTCGGCGGGGAGATTCACTTCCCCAGCCAGGGCCTCCAGCAGTCGTACAGCCGACGACAAGCTCAGCGGCCTGCGGCAACAGAAAGCAAAGACAAAAAAATCCCCCACGGAGCCCCTCGAACGGTACGTTGGCGCTAGCGCCGTCAGCGAGGCGCGGTGCACAACGATGCCTGTAGACACAGCGCTGGATACTTATTTGAGGCTGAGCCAACCTAGGGGAGGCCCGAGCGCGGTTCAGATGTACACACCGCCGACGTTAGCCCTGGACTTCGCGGCGTGGCGCGCTGACCGCCGTGCCACCGCTCCCCCACCGCAAGATAAACTCGCGATGGCTTTTTTTTAAGCGCATGAGATGGGTCTGTGCAGTGGTGAGGCCATTCGCCGCCTTGAAAGTTTCCCCAGCAAAAGTGACCGCGCGTCGCGGTCCGAGTTGGAGCTTGCGGCCGCTGCCCCCCGACGGCCGTGACCCCGGGGGTGCACTTCACCACGCCGCATTTCACACCCGGTGGGTGCGGGAGGCGCGAACGTGCCGGTCACGCCGCCTGCGCGCGGTTACGCGGTCAGGACGGACACGTGACGGTCGCAAATGCGTTCGCTGTGAAGTGGCTCGGGCACGTTCCCCCTCGGCGTCTGACGCTCTCATTGCAGGACATTTTAATTGGCGTCGGTACGAGGTGAAGGGGGTGGGGGCTCAATAATTTCCTCCTCCCCCCCCACTCCCCATAAAAAAAAAAACACAAAACCATGCTTACGGTGGCATTTCCACAAAGCTACCCAGCAAGCCTGACTCCGCTGATGAATGCCGTCGGTTAATATCGCCCCGCAAAGCCAATCGGGCTTTGCGGGGCCGACGGTTTAAACGCTTAATTCACGTAGAGGTCAGGGCACGGAACAGAGCGCCGCTCATGTTTGATTTCATCCCAAGACAGTCCTCTTGGGCTACGCGGTGTCGCACGTCGGTGTGCGAGGGTTCAACCCAGAGACCCCCCCCCCCTTCCCCAGACGTGGGTCAGGGTCGCGGTTATGATGGGGGGGGGCGGTGGTTGGGAGAGCTTTTGGCACGAAAGAACGGCGGCACCGGGATCTTGCAGCGCTGATATCCGCAAACGATACGAGGCTCGCGTCGGGGGGAGGGGTGGTGGTGGGGTCAGGGCAGGAGCGTGGACTTTGCGGATCCTAATCCGGGTCTTTGCCGGAACACGGCCGGGGGCCAGGAGCCATCCTGGGGGAGAGCGGGGGTCGCGGTCAACCAAGGCACCGATACACGACCCGGGGGCACGGGCACACGACCCGGGGGCACGGGCACAGGCACGCGCGCTTGCCGGGCATCTCTTTAAACGGCGCTCTACCCTCGCAAGTCTTCGTCATGGCTGCCAGAGAGCCGCCACCAACACCCGCCCCCCCCCCCCCCCCCCCCACTGTGGAAGGGGTGACATTTACACAGAGATGACCTTCACTGTGCCACTGACAGAAAATAGCTTTGGCCCCCGTAAAATGTCAACACCTAACCATCCTAAGTTTTCCTTTAGCATTTGCGGTAGCGTTGCGCGCGCGTCTGTTTTTATGATTACGCGTTGCCCAGTCGTGAAGCGGCGGTGGCGGCGTGGACGCGCTGGTTGGTTACCGTGCGGGCCCCCCACTCCTTACACTCCCACCCACCCCCCCCCCGACACGATTTGATGCGGCACATTTTTAGTTAAGGGGCCGTTTGTTGTTGGGAGTGATGTTGTGTCGGAGATACGGGCCAATGGGTCAATTTCTCTTCGTCCATCGCCACAAACTTCCCCGGGACCGATTCGCACAGATGGAGACCAGGTTGTGACGTCGCGCGGACAGAGAGAGAGAGAGAGACCGGGCCGCTTAGCCGTGCGGTTATTCAGCACCGCATATCCATACCCCCCCACTCCACTGCTGGGTGATAGTGGCTCTGCTGCACGCGGATGCCTGTAATCCAGTACCGCGGAGGCAGCAGCGAGGGTTGGTGGATGTTGTGAAACTCTCTTCCCGCGGGCGACCAGGACATGCAGTACCCTGGCACGCCAAGAGAAGGCGGTGCGGCAAGTGGACTAATCGCCATCTGTTTTGATCTGTATGTGGGGGAGGGGATCGAGCATTGCCCCCTCGCACGCGTGGGTTTTCTCCGGGTGCTCCGGTTTCCTCCCACTTGCATAATAAACACAACTCCATCATTCATCGGTTGAAAACACCTTGATGTTAAAACCCCCAGTGGAGCGACAGAACCCTCCTGAAGAAGAGTCACGTGACTCGGTGCGGCTCTCCTGCATAAAATAAGTCACGTATTTATTGTAATATTCAGTTGATGGTTCGCAAGACAGGACACGAGTGTGGAGGGAGCAGCTGGCAGCAGCGTGCAGGGCGTGTGCGGCAGACACACGGCGGGGATGGGGGTGGCCTTTCTCCTGACAGCGATACCCAAATCCTCCGAGTAGAAAAATGACAATAATGTTTATTGTTTTTGTAATTTTCATGACATTTTTAGTTTTGAACTCCCAACGCAAGGGCAAATATCGGCGTTTTAAAATTCAGAGAAGCCGCTCGGCTTGTTTGCCGTGACGGCACGCTCTCACGCACGCGCACGCGCGCGCGTGCGCGCTGGTTTAATATTCCGGGCGTCCTCGTCCCAGCGGAGACGCTGGGTTTACAAATTTGCATTCCGCTCCGCGGCGGTTTACAAATTGCGGCGCGGCGCGCGTCAAGCCGCTAATAGGAAGGAAATTAATCCGGCCTCAAGAAGGAATGAAAAGGGAGGGCAGCATTATCACCTCGCAACATCTCCAGAGCAACAACGCAGCCATCACGGGCAGACAGCGGTCTCGCTGGGAGGGGCAATGGGGGGGTGGGGGGGGGTCTTCGGTCGTTTGCGTCAATAAATAAAAAAACGCGCCAACAATTTTCGTCGGGGAGCGCTTTTTGAAATATATTTTTTTGGTTCGTGTTCTTCTCTTCCTGTAAGACCGCATCATTTGAGGGGGAGGGGAATGTGCCCTCTTTTAAGAAATGCTTTTAATTGTCGCTGTGTTCCTGTTCCCCGACGGTGCTTCTGTCGTGCGCTGACACGCGACGCGAATCATTTGCAGATGCAGAACGGCTTTCTCCGTACGGATGAGAGTGTGAATACCACACGTCGTGTTTCCTGATAGAATTGCGTCAACGTACATATTTTATTAGTTTTTTTTGTTCCCGACGGGAAAGACCGGGGTCACGGAATTTAAAGTCTAAAAGAAAACAAATCGTATGTAAAGCCAGAAATCTACCCCCGGTTCGTTCCTTTGTTTCTAAAGCTGTCGGGTGAAGCAACGTTACTAATAGGCCTGTTTCATTTAAGCTACTTCCACCACGAGACATTGACAACTATAGTTCGCCCCCACCCACCCACCCACCGCCTTTCCGGTTATTTGCAATTCTAGGGAGATTCACTTTGCTAAGTGCCATCGAAATAGGAATTGCTCACAGTCGAGCGAGATGGCGTCCCCGATCATCGGGAACACGGAAGGGCGTGAAAGATTAGAGCACGGCGACCGTGAGGCCCGGGCCTCCTCCGACCGACTCGCACCAAGGTTCACCCTTAACCCTCCGCAGCTGCCCTTTGACCCGTTGGCAGGTGCCTTTTTCAGCCGACCAATGCCAGCTGCTGGCCCTGAGAAAAAAATAAAACCGACGGTCAGTTGCGTCAGCTGCCAACCCGGTTCGCGCTCGCTGGGAAAATGCCACAAAAGTCAAGGGTGAGTCTCCCGTCCCTCTCCTCTCTCTCTCTCTATCTCTCCGCTGCGTGACCTCGGGCTGCATACTTTGACCTTATTAAACAATGACGCTTAAATTGGATTTTCCGTGTGGGGATGACGTCTCCGGGCGTAATGCGATGCACAAGGGCTATCGTTTGACGGCCACGAAAAAAAACAAACGCTGGTCCCCGTTCGCTCGGGAGCAACCGCACCTCTGCCGATGGGCAGAGTGAAAAACGCGGAGGGGTAACCACAACCCACGATCTTCCGCAACAAGTAATGCGGTGCGTTAACATTTACACGTATTAACTTAGTCAAATATTTGCGAATTAAAAGGTGATTCAGATTTTAATTAAATTTCCAAGAGAAGACGGCGTGCATTGCCGATGTTATTTTGTGCACAATGCCTATCCGCATGCAAACAGAGGTGTGGGTCTGGCACGATATGGGTTTGGAATTCAGTGCTTTAGAGCAAGGGTTTGTGCCATGGTGATGAGATGTTAGCTACCTCGTCTGGCATACCAGGAAATCGTGGGTTCGATCCGGACCCTGACGCCTGCTGCTGTATCTTGGGAGTTTGCGTGTCTCTCTCTCTCATCATCATCACGGTGGCTCAGAGATGTTAACTACCTCGCCTGGTACACAGGAGGTCGTGGGTTCGATCCCGACCCTGACGCCTGCCGCTGTATATTTGGAGTTTGCGTGTCTCTCTCTCTCATCATCATCACGGTGGCTCAGAGATGTTAACTACCTCGCCTAGGGTACAGGAGGTCGTGGGTTCGATCCCGACCCTGACGCCTGCTCATGTATATTTGGAGTTTGCATGTCTCTCTCCCCGTGGTCACGTGGATTTTTCTCCGGGTCCTCTGGTTTTGCCCTGCACATTAAGAATCAACATCGCGCGTTTTGAGTATGTGGCTACTATTAATTTCGACACGATAAGCCCACTTCGTTGAGCTATCATTTGTGGCCAGGTCGCTTCTGAAAAAGAGCTACATAGCTCAGTGGGCCTTACCTAGTGAAATAAAAATAGTTTAGTTTAATAGTTTAGTTGAGTTTAGATTGCACAAAGAGGATGATGATCATAAGCACCTGCACTGCACCTCGTGCTGGTAAATACCAACTGCTTTTTGTGTTCAGTTTGTTGTCCTTCCCCCACACCTCCGACTAGCCATTGTTGGCTACCTACAGTGCGAAAAAAGTGCAACACTCGTACATACACCATCATGACAGTAACTCATACCTGTTTTCCACCGGTACATCCGACCCACGCCGGCTTGGGGCTCCAAGCCGGCGTGGGTGTTGGCCGAGCTGAGCCAGAACCAAT